TGCTACCGTAGGATGCAGGATGTGAGCCACAAAAAAGGCTAAACGCGTGGTATATGCATTCACGCCCGGTACGGGTGGGGCAGCAACGCGCTGGCAGTTACCGCAGCAGAAAATAGCAGAAGACACCTGCATATTGTACTGAGGAGGAGGTAAGAGTGGTTGTTGAGGAGGTTGCAGAGGTTGTTGTGGTGGCCAGTTGTTGTTTGGATTGTACCCATGCTGGGCAGGGTTCCATGCACCACCAGTCCAGCCCTGGTTACCTCCATAGCCTTGGTTCTGGTACGGATTCATCACAAATCGATAGGAGGGGTTTCGAGAGGAGTTTCGAGGTAGGTAGGAGGATGTAAGATGGAGAATCGAAGGTCTGGACAGCACAATAGTTAGTAAATACTCAATGATATGGCCTTATTTGACCAAGATGAACTTACTGCAGGAGAATAAAGGTAGTTCAACGACGTTGGACCTGAAATTCAACGTCTATAGAGTAGAATAGTTAGTAAAAAGACAAAGGAAGTCCTCGTAATTGGCTCAAAGGTACTCACTGTGAAATACTCAAGGTCTATGAGCAATTAGACGTCGATTTCGAGATCGAGGACACCGTAGACAGAACGAATGAGGTAGAAGAAGAAGTTCTAGTAACGAGGATAGTTGAAAGAACGGAACTCCTTGAAGAAACACAAGGGTAATCACAGATACGTTCTAGTTGAAGTATCTTGTAGTATGAGGGGTCTTGAAAGGGAAAGGAAGGGTCTTGTTAAAGGAGGAGGAATAGTATGTAGGGAAGAAGAAACAGGAAGAGGTTTACAGATCAAAGGGGATGCTTAAATAGAAGTCTTGATTGGAAATCTCTGCAAGCTAAACCATTAACCCCGCCTCAAATTTACTCTACGGAACCTTCCTTGCCGTTGTATTCAATTGTTGAGGTCAAAGAAACAGTTGATTCGTGTTTAAACTAGTAAATGACCAATATTACAGCAGCAATGTATACAGGGGTGTATTTTATGCCGCTAAAATCCATTGCCAGGGTCTAATTGAGCTCCAAAACGCCGCTAAACCTTTAAATGACCTATTTTCCTAAGGCTGAGCCGCCTCGAAATCACCTAGTGGCCTGTACTAAAGCTTAATTTGACTTCCAAATGATCAATGAAATCATTCACCTCATGCGATAAAGTAGGTTGTTTGATGATCCTATCTAAAAGTACTACCCCGCTGTGATTTTACTCAACAAAATTCTCTCTGCCGCTCTTCAAGATCACTAGAAGCGGCGAGACGTATTTAGATCACTCAATGGACCTTATTGTAGTTGGAATGGCCCGAAATGGCCATTAGTACCGCCCAAAAGTATCTTCAAATGGTGAAATAAATCATTCACTCTTAGTCATGAACCGTATTTCATCTAACTCTATCTAGCAACTGCGCTCTTGCTTCAATTCTGTTGAAAGTGACTTTTCCTATCATTCAGATCATGAACTGAGGTCAAACCAAGCTTTAACACGCGTCTAACCCTTTCGATGACCAATAATAAGACCTAATTCTGGTATGGTGGGATGTTTATTGATGCTTAAGCCGAGTCCCGAGGCTAAAGTCGACGCTAACTCATGTCTAACTCGCGCAAATTTCCGTCACGCGGCTGGAGAATCCTTTGAGTAGCTCATTTACAGATAGAACGCTTGATAGCCTATGATATTGCTTGAACTGCGCCTCCAAGTACTCAATGACTGAAGATGAGGCTCATATTCACGTTTGAATTGCTCAAAAATTCGTGTTTTAACTCGATTAGATCATGAAACCATCTAATTACGGTCATGAATCAGCATTATTTTCATGACTAAGAGTAGTTAGTAGAGCTATAATAATTAATCAAAGCGAATTAAGACCGTAATAAGGCTCTAAGTAACTTTGTAAATATTATTAGTATGTAAATATATATCAAAATCACTTAATAACCTATGATATACTTCAAATCCCTCTCTAGAATAATCAATTCAATCTGAAAGAACCTTAACCGAATCTTAAAATAGTAATCTTATGAATTATTTTACAATATTCTATATGTTTTTCTCGCTTTAAGCCAAATTATACTAAAGTTTCTAGAAACTACTAGTACTTCAGAGCTTTTATTCAGCTACATATAACTATTTGAGGATGTTATCAGCCCAAAATATGTTTTCAAATAACATCTTACTTTTTTAAAAAATTTAGATACTTCTCACATGGAATAGAATAACAAATGAATAGTTACAAAAGTTGCTTAATTCTACTTACTAGAACCCCTTCATCTTACTCCACCTTTCGTGTAATATTACCCCAGGTACTCAATTCACTATATACATCTATATCATCTAGAGCTTAAATTCATCAATAAATTTATTATATAGATATAAAAGATATAAAAATAATAAGAAAAATAGAAACATTGATTTTTCTTATAAAGACTCAAACTCTGGAACTTATATTTAAGATATTTTTAATAATCTATCTATCTATATATATATAAAGAGCAAGATTTCAAGATAATATATAGAATAACTTTGAGCTTAATCTTCTCAAGTATATATCTTTATATAGTATTTATTATTCTAAACTTTTATATACAAAGTCTTATAAATAATTTTCTTATTATTTCCTATATTATATAACTATTTCAATTAGTATTAAGTTTTTGAAATCAGTAATTCTAGAGTTGTATTCAAGTGAAGTAGAAGATAGAATCTCTTTGAGTTGGTTTTTCTAAATTCCTTTCCTTTCCTAGAATATAATTTCCGCTTTATATTAGAGTTCAAGTCATGTTTCTCTAAATCATCTAAATTTATATCCAAGAGTTTCGATAATCTCATAAAATAATATATACTTCATAAAGAAAGCTGTTTTTTCCTCGAAATACTAAGTCTCGAAATCTATCTTCCTCTTAATATACCCCTCTCAAATAAAGAACAAAGATTTAATGTCTAGATATAGTACTCTTCATAAGCCTAAAGTTTTTTAATTAGAATTTATAGAGCTAAGATTAAATGATAATAGTTATTCATCTTCAAATTATATCTCTTAGAGATTCTTTTTATTTTTCTATTAATCGAGGAGTTCAATATATAAAATAGAGAGAAGGAAGTACTAGATAATCAAAGATTTTTCTTAATTAGAAAGAAATGCTTTTCGAATTTTCAGGAGTCCTAGTTTATAGGGGTACTAGAGTATCAATTTAGAGCTTGTTTAAAAGAAACTTGAATTATTTGAAAACTTTTATTATTCAAAGTAATATACATTTATCTTATATGAAGTAGAAGAATCGTATAGTCATGAGCTGTAACTATATATAATAAAACATAAAAAACTTTCTAAAGTATATAATAGAATTATAATGATTATAATGTTGCGGAATTAGAGGTCAAGAATCATCTATCAAAGAATCTCTATTTCTTTTCCTAGTTTTTGAATTCTTTAATAGATGATATAGTATTTTAAGTCCTTAACTTATTACATTTATATATTCCTCGAAAGATTCTCTTAGATGTAAATTAATAATACCATTCATACTACTACTTCTATTACGAAATACTCTAATTCTACAGTACTTCAATTTCTGAATAACACTCATATCAAGAGATACGTATATTTTAAATTTCCTCGAAATACATATCTCTCAATTAACACCAGGAATCCCAATTTCCCAACAAGGTAATTGCAAATTCTTAGCGCCATATTAAACTCAAGCGCAACCCATGATCTTAATTTCAAATTCAAGTTTACATTCCCCTCCATGCCGCTTCAATCTTAAATTCTCTTCAAGCTCAAGAAATTTTTCTCACAGCCTCAAATGACCTTTTGTTTATCTTTCATCCATCAACTATTCACCACTCGGCCTTCGGCCTTACCCTCAAACCCATGTCCGAGTTTTTCTCAAAGAAAATTTTCCTTGAGTGAATCACCCAGGCAACTTTCAAAGAAAATTTCAAAGCTACAGCCCGTCATTCAACAAGACATGAGATGATATTCTCAGTTCCAATGGATTTATTGTTGGGGGAAACGATTCGGGAACTTTCCATGGAGGGGTACAGGGTCAACCTCGGATGACCTCGGATCGGGTGAGGAGAGTTGTATCATAGAGAAACCAGATATACTAGGTTTTGAACTCGGGAAAGGTCGGGATGAGGGGTTCGAATTTGTGAATTTAAGTCTTAATTTGTGGGAGTGAATAATTGTCAATGGATGAAGTTGTGAAAGAGGATAGAGGTAGTAACAGAAAATGAAATATTTGTGAAAGAGGGATGATCAAGATAGAAGAGAAAACCTTTGTAAGAATATGATGAAGGGAAGTAATGGGGTTTGAATATTTAGGTTAGTGTTTGAGTTTCGCTGGTATGAAGTTGAATGAAGCTTTGCTTTCTGTTGGTGTCTTGAGGTACACAACACTGACTTGCCTACTATTTTACGGGGATAGATTAAAGTACACAATGTTTGATTTCGTCCAATTTGAAGCACTGTATGATCAGTGAGATTATATCAAAAATGCAAGTTAAGAGTCTATCTAAGTCTCTATGATCAACCGCAACATGTTGTGACATTTATAATTCCAAGTCTTCGAACCATCTCGCTACAAAATTCTCTATGAGATGCTGAATCTAGCATCTAATACATTAAAAGTCTCATAATGATCCGTGGAGTGAGCGACAGGATCAAGAATTGAATACTCTGCTACAAGGCTTCCTTGTCAGCTTCCAAAATATGATTCCACGTATGGTTTGCTGAGAATCATCGACATCAAATTCTAATCGCAGTAAAAAGCTACCAGGGACAGTCATTGGGGTGTCATACGACGTATTTCCCATCTGCTACACTCTAGTAGTACAGATTGCATTTTCTATTATATATTTCGATATATATGATTAAAGTTAGCTTTGAAGTATAGCTCAGCGTTGAGAGAGTTAGTTTGAGAAAGCTCAAAAGGAGGTATGTCCTAAAGGAAGAATAGGAAATCGATACAACCCAACACTCTCCAAGGTTTACTGGCATGAGAATCCCTCGTTCGCAGTAGCATTTCCAACACCATCGTAAGTTTGCTTAAGCGGATATGGACAGATAGTACGCTTAATAGCCGTGTTTGAAAGGAAGATAGAATCCATGGTTTCTGGAACAGTGCCGTTCTCAATCCAAGCACGCATGGTATCGAAAGTATCAGCTGGGAAAGCACCAGGTCCGCCAAGACAGTGAGCGACACCTGGAGCCATGAACACTCTATAGAAATCGTGTACGTTTGGGTCGAGCGCGGTAACGGAATCGTAATAGCTCGTGGTTGAGTTAGGAGGGATAATGCCATCAGCCTGTATTATTGTTAGTTGCTTTCTTGTAATGAATATGGGGAATTGATCGTTAAAGGAATAACTGACCAGTCCATGGTAAGTGAGAAGTTTTCCTCCACGGGCACGAAATTGTGAAAGATCCGGGTCGTTGGTGCCTATAATAGAAGACCACTCATTGATGGAAGAATGGTAAAGCTGATCAAATTCCTGGCGCGTTATATTTGAGGTATCGGTGTTGTCGTCTTTGCGAACAAACTTCGCTATCCACGGGAGTAGAAGAGATAGTGGATCTGCTGTACAAGTTTCGTTGCTTGAACATGTGGTAAGAGCAAGTGATCCTCCGGCAGATAAGTCGTCACTTGATAAAACAGTGCCTATCTGTTGACCAAAAAAAAGAGAACTGTTATCTGACTTTCTAGGACCATCCCACATAGCCTGAGTAAGATAGGCAGCTCCAGGAGATATCGTAAAGTTTTCACCAATTTCAGTGCAGTTTATGGTGGTGCCAACTAGAGATGTAGGATCAAAATTGCAGGAATCAGGATCTGCAATGATTCCATCAACAAGGCCATCATTAGCATCACAAGCCTTAATAGCTGCTGCAGTAATTGCTTGCATCTCGCACATGTGCGGGTAGATATTCATGGTATTCATTATGACATGAGCCCAAAGATCTCCCACAAATAATCCACTCCAATTAATGGCCGGCGAAGAAGCTGCGATTCCGTCAAAAGCCTCAGGAAACCTCTGAGCAAGCATCATACCTTGACGGCCACCTTGAGAGCAGCCAGTCCAGTACGAGTAGACTGGTGGTGTACCATAGTATTTGTTAGTAATATCCTTCCCAATGATTGCAAGGTCGTTAAGAGATGTTGAGGCAAGGTTTTGCAGAAGATTACGATTTGGGTTTCCCGGACTCAAAAGGCCCCAAGTCGCGCTATCACTACTTCCCAGACCAGCATCGGTAGACAAAGATACGTAGCCCTTGCCCATTGCTGCTGCCATACCCGCCAAAGCTACGTATTTGAGGCCAGCCTGCCAGCCGTTGCCTCCAATGGCTTGCATTCGACCGTTCCATTCTGTAGATGGCAAGTAGACTTGTACATTGACTGTATCATTAAGACCGGGATGAGTGTAAGCTATAGAGACGTTGCAAAAGCTGGCTGCTTGAATGTCGACAGCTCCATGATTCATATATAGACCCATCGAGATGGTGCGAGTGTAATTAGTGACTTGGTTAGCCTGGAAAGATAGGATCTCGGCTCCGAAGAGGCTTGGTGCAGGAAGAGATGAACATGCCAGCGCGGCGGACGGATTGAATGACATGTTAGAATAAATGAGATTCGTGTTGCTTTCTATGAATGAAGGCATTGGATGTAGATGTTTCTGGAAAAGATCGAGCAAGAGAACAGTTAAATACATTTTGGAACATACTATCCCATGTAAATTCCAGTCGTAACGCATGGAAACACATTTAGGGGCAGGATGATCAACAGATTATATCCCTTGATCTGAGGAAATATTGTAGTAAAAGACGAACCGCCATCAAATACGAGTATTCGCCAAAACCTAGTAATCGCAAATTAGCGGGTCTACTTCGGGTAGAATATTACTGAATACGCGTATTTCAACTACCGGTGTAGCACTGCTACGCCTTTTGATATTATGATTCTCTGACCTCAATAGTTGTTGGAAAAACTTTATAAGTTGTAGGAAGCAATTTAATTGGGAACGTATAATTCGTTGTAAGTAGTATTGTGAGAAGCTATCAAAATCGGAGGCGAATGTGAACTCATTTTGATGACTAAGGTGGTCAGCTATTTTAGCGCGCCTTAATGTGTCCAAAACGTGACTTTTTTTTGATCTAACCAACTTTTTGCTAAATCCTATATAAAAATAATTCAATTGCTTTCAATTTTCGAAATTTCGATTAGGTGATATTGAAAAAGGGCTTTTTCTTTTGGACATACGTTATGAAATCGGGTGTACACACGTAGTATATTGAGGGTTTGAGGTTATAAATTCATTCTGCCTACCTCTCTTAATCATTTTGGTCTCGCGAAATATCACTTGTATTATTTAAATACGCAGACTCATTTTTATATCTCGTAGGGGTACATTTGTAATACATAGAAATTTCGGAAAGGGTTAATAGTAAATTTCTGCGTATCGACGGCTCCCAAGAAGGCTCAGGGGAAAATCATAGGTATGTAAAAGAACTTGGAGTCATATTCGAGCTCTGTTGAGAGCCTTTCAGCACTTGTAATAAAAATGTATTCATACAATGATTAGATGAGCAAGTAATGTAAAATGCATCAAAATGTGTCCCACTTAAAGCCTTTGAACGAATGACATCACGACGCTGGTTGAAACCCTATGGTGGACTCTAGCTGGCGGAAGTAATATAAGAAATCACATAATATAACCTATCACCGACTGAGCTACATTATTGAGTGGGACATTTTCATTTCAATTCACACTCTCTACATAATACTTAAAATCTTAATTAGGAAAGTATCTATATCCACGCGAGAATCTTACGAAGGGGCATTGCAAGCTAGATCCCCCATACCCACGAGTCACGAACTCGCTTACCTATAAACTAATGTAGAGTTACCAGCAGTTAGCATCAACGCTTCTAAGAACCGCCAACATGACTTCGCAAGCTACATTGTTACCTAAGTCACAAATTTAGATTGAATTTGCTCTCCTGTCTAAGACTCATAAGCCCACTTTAGGTCGGCTCGTATATTCCAAGTCACTCAGAGCCACCTTATCAAGGCTACATGGAGATGCGTCGCTAGACCATCACGCAAGAAGAGCAGATAAAACTCCACAAGAAGTAATTTCTTCCCGACTATACATTACTAACGGCATGGGAACAGAGATTGATGAACTATTTCTAGCTGAATTTTGTTATTTTGTTAGGTCTCTAGGATCTACAACTCCGAAACCCTTTCTGCACCGTCCTAAACTCGACAGAGTTCGAAGATGACTTCATCGCGGACCTTTTTTCAAACACAAATCTCTGAGGATAAAGTTAAAATAGAGAAGCTCCTGGCTGCCATGCTATTAGTTCATCGTATTGTCGAGAAAATTTCCAGAACTACCAGCCTTTCACATATCTAACCAAGCCTGGCCTTTTCTGCTTTCCGGAACCTGTCGATTGTAGCACAAGACTCACACAAAATCAACGGATCTCAAATCAAGAAGGACCAAAAACTTTCGCCCCTCTTCCTGAGAAGATAAAGCGACCGAAATAGCAAGAGGTGGCGAAGAGAATGAGTTATCAATGTCACCCACTTCCTATATAGATACTAAAACCAAAGCACTCTAAACTAAAGATCTGAGCCTTCAACCTTTGCTAACTACTCTACTGTAGAGCTTCTCCGTGATCGAAAGCGCAACAAACACAACATACAACTACGAATAACCTACCTACCTAGCTACATGACTAGTAATCAAAAACGGAGAGAGTTTAAGAATGAGACATGAGGAAATGACTAGCATGATTTTATATTTGAAGAGCAGACTTCATTTATAGGAATCAGTATTTTTCCTGTATAAAGAAAGGGCATGGGAGAGACATCCTGCCTTATCCGCAGATCTTGCAAGTTTTCAGCTTCGTCATATCCGATATATCTTGTGAACATGACCATTTTCAATCTTTCAAAACATCCCTGATATAAAAAACAACACAACGGCATCAAAAATTCACAAAAACATCATCATATATACAATGACATACTAAACTATACCTACCTGATCATTCCATGACACTTTTAATAGATCTTTATACAAGTAATTTATAGGTTCCCTCTCATCATCTAAAGAATCGTATACCATAAATCTCAAACATTCCCATCACATCAATACACCACATCCCCAGCAGACGACTGAGCAGAGCCTGAGCCTATTCTTCTACAAACTCAAGTATCTTCACTACAAATTCAAACCTCCTCAAATCATCTACTTAGATATTCAACACCGCATCTCCACATCATCAAATTCCATAACTACAAATCCAATTCTCAAACTCTCTAGAATTATAAGTTAAGTTATAAATATATTATACTCTATATAACTTATCTCATTTTATCTCATCTCATCTCATCTCCTCTCATCTCATCTCCTTTCATCTCATCTCCTCTCATCTTCTATTATCTCATCTCAGCTTCCAAATATCACCCCACCCCACCACACCACACCAATCCATAAATATTTCCCAGCATTACCATACTATTTCCAAAAAAATTATCAAACTCAAAATACAGATACCTCCATAGCAGTAAACATATCTAAAACCTTTCTTATACACTAAATTCCTTTTGAAAAGCACCATTCATACATCTAATATTGTATACGATTGAACTTTGAAAGTCTCAGATATACATATAATTCTCAATGCTAAATTACTAGTTCATCAAACATCTATTCAATCGACTTCCTCTAACTCTCTAAATATTAGAATTCAAACCCTAGAAAGAAAAGAAAAAGAAAAGAAAAAGAAAAGAAAAAGAAAAGAAAAAGAAAAGAAAAAGAAAAGAAAAAGAAAAGAAAAAGAAAAGAAAAAGAAAAGAAAAAGAAAAAGAAAACGAAAATATAAAAGACGATGCAATATTACATCATGCTGAAATTTTTCAAACAATTTAAATAATGAGATGGGAGTCTATAATAAAATAATAAGCCCTCTCCTCTAAAAACTACAAATCTACCTACCTACATCATCTCACTTCCCAACTTCCAAACTTCCAAATTTCAAAATCAGATCACACAAAACCCTAGTTCCTCACACTCTCTCTCATTACCCAAGAAAAGCCCAACCTCCAGCTCCAATCCATGCTCTCAATAACCCTATCCTCAATAAAATATAATATGATTCAACCTACCTCTCATTCCCAACCCCAAGAACAACACCAAACCCAGCCACCTCTCTCCAGAATCCCCACTCCTTCATCTCTCACCCCCTCATTCTCATTCTTATTCTCGCAAGCCCGAACTCAAGACTCCAACCCCAATCCAAACCCAGAAATAATATCAAATCTAAAACAAAAACCTAAAAATACAATATCTTCTCATTCATTCCAATTTCCAATTTCCAATTTTCGAATCTCTATCAACTTTCTACGAAGTATCTAGCATCTAAACTAATCAATATTATCTTATACATATTAATATTATATATATCTCTTCTCCTTAATCATTTGATTTATAAACTATATACTTTCTAGTAAAAATGAACTAAACTAGAACAGAGAAAAATCTTTAAACTACTAAATCAAATCAATTATATTAAACCATCATATCAAATCGTTATATTAAACAACTCAGCCCCCTCCCCCTCCTCCCCTCCTCCTATAAATCTCTTTTCTCTTCTCTTCTTATAACCAGTATTATAATTAGTATTTTCCGTATTTCAGTTATACCCTACTTTAGTAGTACGTATTAATATTTATTATAATATTTCAATAATTATTATTAAATTATATATTACTAAAAGTATTCTATATTTCAATAATATTGAATATTACTAACAATATATCGAAATATAGGATTTACATATTTCTATTTAAATATTATATATTTTAAATGATCTATTTCCTTATTAGGCTTAAAGTCAATCAAAATATATAATATTCGAATCAAAATATATAATATTCGAATCAAAATATATGAATTCCCGTATTTTAATATATCTTCAATATAGTTCTGTTTGTATAATACGTACGGACGTGAATATAATTAACTATTATACGTACTAGCGTGCGTATTATACTCTCTATATTAGTTATAGTAATACTATCGTATACTAATTACAATACTACTTATAACTAAATTCCAACTTCAATTACCTCATCCTATATCTCTCATTCTATATTCCATATCTCCTATCCCCATTCTCATTACTATTACTATTTAAAAATAAATTCAAATATAAATATAAATTCAAGTATAAATATAAATTCAAATATAAAATTAACTTTAAGTATAAAATTAATCAAGTAATAAATATAAATTCAAATATAAAAATAAATTCAAATATAAAATATAAATTCAAGTATAAAAATTAACTTCAAGTATAAATTAAATTCCCATCTCCTTTCCTTTCCTTTCCTTTTCTTTCCTCTCCTCTCCTCTCCTCTCCTCCTCTTTCCTCTCTTTTAGTAATTAGACTCATATACAAATCCTCATATCCCTATCCCTATATACCTATCCCCATATACCCATCCTCATCCCCATAACCCATCTCATATACCTATCCTTATCCCCCTTCCTATTCTTATATCCCCATCCCTATATACCCATCCCTATATAACCCATCCCTATAGATCTATTCCATCTATACTCCTCCCCTATTCCTCCTCCTATTCCTCCTCCTATTCCTCCTCCGATTCCTCCTCCTATTCCTCCTCCCATTCCTCCACCTATTCCTTATTTCCCTTCTCTAAATTCTCACCCTTCGCTTTCCAATTCCTTTAACTCTAACCTACTTACCAATCCAGTGCAGCCATCCCATCCATCCTAGAAAAGCGACCACACCCCCATCATTCATAAAACATATTTTATCTTATGTTATTATATCAACTGTAAATACTCTCCCCCCTTCTCTTTTTCCCCTCCCCTTTTACTATCTCTCCCCCTCTTTTTTCCCTCTTTTCCTCTCTCTCTCTCCACACCCAATCACCACCGCAAACCAATCCCTATTAACCCTCATCCATTAACCCTTAACAACCCCAATCCAATTCTCCCCCCATTAAATCAATTAATAAGCTTTAGATCATATTATATTCCATATTCATATTCATATTCATATTCATAGTTCATATTCTATTCATAATTCATAGTCATATTCATATTCAATTCATATTCATAGTCATATTCATATTCAGAGTCATATCATATTCATATTCATATTCATATTCAATATCCATATCCACATCCTCCTTTTCCTCTCTCCCTCTTCTCCCTCTCTCCCTCTCTCCCTCTACCCCTCTCCCCCTCTCCCCCTCTTCAATTTCCCTTTCCTTCTTTCTTTCCAACCTACCTACCTACCTACCTATCAACCTATACCTAGATACCTAATAAACTCTTTACAAAAGCAAATCCTAACTCAAATCTCTATAGCAAACTATTAATAATATAATATAACAACAACATGTCAATATAACAATATAATTTCCTTTTATTTTATTCTCACTATTGTTCATATACATGCATCTACACATATAATTTATACATCCACGCACGTATACATGCATCCACACATCCATTCATCAAATAACAATCCCCTTTCAACAAATGAGATTCTCAAAAAAAAATTCCTGTATGACGCACTAGAGCATACAATTTTCAAAATACATATACACACAAATCCTTCTTCCTCTCCCTCTCCCTCGCTCTCAACCCAACAATCCTTTATCCGCACCCTCATTTTTCCCCCTCGCATCCACCACCACCTCTCTTGCTCCATCCTCCTCAAAAACATATCTCTCCCACCTCTGCGTCACCTTCCCACACCACGGATCCACCCACTTCGTCCAAGCATTCGCCATCGCATACAAAATCACAAACCAAACCAACAACATGCTATACCACCTAAACCTTCCACACATATGAAGTACGCCCCTCACAGTCTCCCCCTTCTCATTCACCGAATCCTCCGGCATCGAAACCCCATACAACATCCAAATCAACAACGTTCTCAAGAGCGTTCCATGAATCAAATACACCGCAAATGAATTTTTGCCAAACCAGAGTAAATATTTATTCGCGAGGAAATCTTTACACAGGGGGGAGAAATGGATTCCTAGCGCGATAAGTTCGAGACCGAGTCCCGAGTAGAAACGAGGAACATCAGGATCATTGGGGAAGATCCAGAGTGAGAGATTATAGAGGGATTGCGACCAGGCTTGGAGTTCTGGTTTTCCTTCAGGGTATGAGGCAAAGATTAAACCGAGGACAATGAGTGAGGGAGCCAGGTAATAGCGGGGCCATGTGACGGTTTTGAGCCACTCGATGTGGGGTGGATGTTGAGAGAGATCTGAGAGAAATGTTCCAAAGAAGAATTGCATTCCGAATGCAGCTGAGGGATAATTAGTATTTGAGTTATTTTCATGGGGAAAGAGAAATCAAGAAAAATCCAATCCAATTCAATCCAACCCAACCCAAAAAGAAAAGGAAAAAAAAAACTTACAATCATTCGCCACATAGAAATAAACAAACAATGCCATACTAGACATCATTCTATACCTCGCCTTCATAGCCGCAGTCCCCAACATGAAAACATAAACCATCATCGCACCCTTCAACAACGGCAACAAAGTCCACTGATTCCCATCATAAATATTCCAGCCGCGCGTCCACGTCGTAATCAAATGATACAACAAACTCTTGACGGCATCTCCAAAATACGGCGTGATATCCGGACTCGTTGCTTCAATCCACCAACTATCCGATCTCTTGGCCACCTTGTAAATCCCAAACTGACACAGGAACCAAATAATCGTCGTCGCAATGGTCGTGGGCAAAACCAGACGCGGCACCCGACGAAACGCCGAGCGAGAAATCGTATTGAAGCATGCCGTTTGATTACCCGCGCGACATTGGCGGATGGGTTTCAGGGCGCAGACGTACCCAGTGACGAGGGAGAAAATCGTGACTCCAATGCGACCTTGAGGGAGAATGCGCAGGATGGGAAGTTGGAGGAGTCGTGGACGGAGTCCTTCGCCGGAACTGGGGAGGAAGAGATCGGGATCAAAGGCTCGTGCGATATGGGTTGCGACTACGAGGAGGGATGCGATTCCTCGAAGACCCTATTTTATTTTTATTTTGGTTAGATTTGATGGATGGATGTTGATGTATGTAATTGATGTGATTGATGTGATTGATCAATTGAGTACATGAGTATAGAGGAATTGAATGTGAATAAAACTTACATCAACCCATTTAACATTTTCCGTCTTGACCGACATGATTATGCCAATGATGAGGATTTGACGATGATTTGACGGCAGACAAAGAGTAACCTTGTAAACTTTATAATTTCTCAAACTCCACCTTCATCGACCGGAGATGCATTCAAATTCGAATTCGACAATTATAAAAAGAATTCCTCGAAGAAAATATATGAATGAAGAAAGAAAGAAAGGAAAGAAAAGTTGGTCAAGAAGGAGATCCAAAGACCATGCAGATAGATATCTGGGTAGGTACCTGGGTATATCGATAGAGATAGAGATAGAGATAGATATGAAAGAAGAAGCCGGTCACTCTTTCTTATCCTGTTTTATCGATCCCCCAACCGCTTGCTGCAAATGAGGCAGGTAGGTATCTTCGTCAAGTGTACCTATAGAAATGAATCTTTGCAGAAGAAATTTCCTGTGTGTAGGTAGGAATTGAATGAGTGTAGAAAAGATGTCTTGATCTTAAGGATTTAATCAATTGATTGAGAGGAAGAAACGTGAGAAGAGAGAGAGAGAGATCAAACAAAAATGAAATCCAATGGAAGATCAAATGAAAAGAAGTCTGGGTTTCAATCGAATCAAATGCAAATGCAAATGCAAATGCAAATGCAAATCCAAATGCAAATCAAATATCGAGGCACTGATTATATGTACCGGTCACACATGGAGAAATGAAAAGAAGGTCAAGAAGGAAAAGCGGATCTGGATGTACCGGTACTCCCATATGATATGAGTAGGATATGAGATGAACGGAGTGTGTACAATTGTAGACAAACGGACAGTGTTTGTATGTATGGGGTATGTGTGTATATACCCTTCAAGGTATTGATTGATTGGGTGATTTATTTGGTAAAGATGTGCGTATCTACCTCGTCTCCCTCATCTACCTACCTCCCTACCTAGTAATTAATTCCAATCAATCTATCCATCAGATACATCAAATCAATCAAATCAAATCAAATCAAACTCAATTCAATTCAAGAAATCAAGCACAATACTGCATGGAAAAACATGTAACACGCACGCATCGCATCGGATAACAAGCATAACAGGCAAGGGAAGTTGCATGAACAGATGGGATGCGGATGAATGAGAGAGAGAATGAGAGGTCAAATCGGATGAGGATCTAAAGACCGAAAGCTCGTGCTGGAGAGATTTACCTACCTAGGTAGGGAGGTAGCTAGTGGGTGAGCGGGCGAGGCTGGCTCGGTTGGTGAGCTAGAGTCTTGGTATCTGGTAAATGAATGCCGGGGTCTTTATTTTCTCCTGGGGTGACCAGGGTTTACGTATGTCCTTGAGGGGAGTTATCTATGTAAGACATCACGTCATTGGAAGATGGATGGATGCGATGGAAGATCTATTGGTATGGTATGTGGATGATTGAATTGAGTTGTCGTCGATAGATATTTTGTAGATTTTGAGTTTCTGTGGCAGTATCGAGTAGATGTGATATGATATGAGAGAATGGTATAAAAGGGGATGTACGGAGTAAGCGGAGATATGAATGGAGTATAAAAAGAGTATAATTAGAGTATGAATAGAGTATGAATAAAGTACAAAGTATAGAATATGAAAATCTCCATGAGAATGAGACCAAGCAGTCGTATACTCCACACTCTACGAGATATACAAAAATACCTACGTCGTATAAAGATGGCGATTATCATATCCCATACCGATTCAAAGATTACACATGGATATGTACAGTAGTACTTACTTACCACTTAGTCAAACCATTCCGACATCCGACTTGGAATCTTTTGATTCGCAGTCCAAGCCCAAAGTGTGGATTCTTTAATTTCTCACTCTCTTGGTATCTCTCGCATCTAGCACCAACCGGTACATCTCACCCACTCTCCACTCAATGCACTCAGCATTCGAAGAGTCGCTGGAACGTTTCACCTGCTTCTTTTATTTTTCCCTCTGAAACTTACTCAATGATAGTATCGCGCTTGGAGATTCTAGTGCTCACTCTAGTTCCCCTTCTAGTTCTCCTTCTAGTTCCCAGTCTAATGCTCATTCTAATTCTAGACACCCAGTTCTCCTTCCGAAACATTCATTCAATGCTTACGTATCCCTAGCTTACCGAACGAAACTAACGACATATCGACCAACAATACGAGTACCGATGCTCAATCCTGTGAGTTTCTCGAACGCGAGATGGAGATGATCATAAATCACAATGGATGATGCATTTATTACAGAGTAATCAGGGTGTGATTTAACAAAGGAAGGATTCTCTTCCGGGTCCGAACGAAAAGAAACGGAAAGAGACGTACGAGCCGTCCGCTGTCAAACGTGATTAGAGTCGGGGAGTACAGGATACTATACTTGAAGGGCGTTAGTGTCAGGGATGTTCTCCACTTTTCTTTTTCAAGATTGAAGTTTGTTTTTGGTGATGGTGTGTCACGTGTGATTGTGAGTATGCATGTGTATGTGCATGTGTAATATGTATATGTATGTGGGGTTCATCATAATCATTAGGGTTGAAGAAAAAGACGGAGATGTAGTAGTACAGTAAAACCTCTCCATAAGGATACTGGTTTTTGTAGTCTTTTTTAAGGATATATAGAGGTATCCTTATATAGAGGTTCCGCTTAATCCCGATATAGTAGTAATTTTCTTCCGATTAGTAGTAATCTTCTTCCGATTAGTCCCGATCGGGCAAACTCCGTGACATTTTTAGAGTTTCAATAAAATCTCTCTAAAATCCAAATATATTTATTAAATTCTGATAATTCTATTGATTTACTAAAGATACACGTAATCCTGAAACCGAAGAATATAAGAATATCCTAATAGAAAGGTTTTAAGGATATAGGCTTTTTTTAGGCCTAAAATTTTTTGGGACCGAAAAATATATCCTTATAGAGAGGTTATCCTTATAGGGGGGATCCTTATGGAGAGGTTTTACTATAGTAGTATGTATATATTATATATATTGATATACAGAGTATAAATTATACTTCAACTTTATCTAATATCTCCCTCTCCCTCCTATTCATTAATTCCTTTATTCATCTATTCATTTATCTATTCATCTATTTATTCATTCATTCATCTATCTATTTATTCATCTATTTATCTATTTATTCATTCATCTATTTATTTATTTATTTATTCATTCATCTATTTATCTATTCATTCATCTATCTATTCATTTATCCATCCCTCAATTAATCAATCCCAACTCCTGTTCATCCCAATCCCAAACCCCAACCTCCAACCTCTAACCTCAAACCTCTCCCTAAACGCTAAACCCCTATCCAAATACCTATCCAAATACCTACATACCAAGAACCAAGAACCATTCCCATAACACCAAGACCCTCCCTCCTCCACCTTATGCATAATTCAAGAACCCTATCCCATTCATCTCATCCATTCTATCCATTCTATCCATCCACTCACCATCACTTTTCAAACTCTCCAACAACTTCATCTACATAGGTGCATTACGTAACACAGCAATTTAACCCCTGAATATTATCTCGATACGGAGTACACTGGTGGTATCGTACTCGTAACCCGATTTATCCATCTTACCCCACATCCACATCCATTTTACATCTTCTACGATTATCAGCAATGGATAGGGCTCATGAAAGTAACCTTATCATCAACCTTAACAAAAACAAAAACCCATGAATCAACTTCTTTTCTTCTCGATTCCTTATTAGTATTTTCTCTATAGATTCGAGAATTAGATAATCACTATGTATTTTTTATTATAATCAAGTCATACCATATAGTTGAGTATATTTATATATATCTTTTCATATACTTCATTCTCATTCGTAGCTCAAATCTTTCAATTGCTAACTAAATTCGCAGTGTATATCTATTTTGTATTATGGTTTGATGATAAGTTGTATAAGATCTTACCTAGGTAGATAGTTCAATTATACATTTATCATATCCATTCATCTCTCTTCATTCTGTACAACTACACCCTCACCTCAACCTCAACCTCAACCTCAACCTTCAAACCCCATCTCATCTCATCTCAACCCTCTCTTCTACCATCACTCATCTCAACCCTCTCTTCTACCATCATACCATCTCCACATCGTACTCGTACACAATACAATACAATACAATACAATACAATACAATACAAAACTCCATCCATATTCCCTCCATGCTCCCTCCATTCATCTACACACACATACACCATCCGTCGATCCATCGTATTCAATGCCAACCCTCCCCAAGCCTCCTAATCTCGTACTCTCGTACTCTCGGTCCCGAGATTTCTAAGGTATCTACCAGTGTCTCTGTAGGTAGGTATCTACGTGATATGCGTGATGGCTCATCACAGCCTTAAGTTCAAGGCTAGCTTGAACTTGGTGATTATTATTATATAAGAGATAAAGAGATCCCTTAAGAGTCTCTTTCCTCTTTAGCTTTCTTATTCTACTTATTAACCTCTATAATATGCTCTAGTATGTGATCGTAATACTAGGTCTTTATTTCTATCGATCTTTTAAATTCTTTTTTTTTTCAATTTAATTATAATATGATATAATATAAAGCTCATGAGTTGAAGATCGCGAAATTATATATATCTATCTAAATACCTATGTCTATATAAGAGAAAAAACAGGCTGGAATTGATTAATATATAATATCTCTGTTTATATATTATTTTAGTAAGAGTATATATACTATTATATAGTGGTTAATTCCAGTCTGTTTTTTCTTTTATATAGAGTCTATCTTTTTATTAATTCTATTTTATTTCTTTTATATCTTTCCTTTCTCTCTTTCTTTCTTTCCTCTTTCCTCTTTTCCCATCTCTATAAATAAAGCTTATCTTATCTTATCTTACTTTATACATTTACATCTACATCCACCTCCACCTCTATATCCACAACAAAACCAGAACCCCTAAAGATACCCAGCTATAAACAACTAATCAACTAAGCAAGCCCAGGACGTGCAATCATATGTAATACAATACAATAATCTTACAATTCAATATACTCACTCGCTGATCTGTTTATTCAGCT